CAAAATTTCTTCCTTGCTTGATTTCCTGATTTCTCTTTATTATCTTCTAGACTTCGTATCATTTTTCTTCCCTAGCTAATCCTATCCGCATTTTTTTTTAATTTTCTCTTTGAGTTCTATCCATTTCCTTCTCCCTCGTTCTGTTCTTCATCTCTCACACTCCTTCAAGACTATATTTCTAGTTGTGCAACCATTTTCCACAATACAGCTTGCATGTGCCGAGGCCAAAGTGTCTTGGCTGATGGTAGCTTATGTTATCTCCATTAGATCAGATTCAGGGTCTTGAAGGGAGTACAAACAGACCTCAGAGTCTGTGCCAGGTTTGGCATTTAGTTGTGCAGATATTTGTAAGAAATTCAGTGTTCATTCTTCAAGGCCCTGTGCTGCCACTCAATGATGAGCAGTGCTATAATTATCAGGAAAGAGGGAAGTTCAAAGAATGTTTGGGAAGAGAGAGCTTCTGTTGGCTTGGTTTTGCTTTTGCTTTTTAATCCAAAGCTGAACTCAAAAATGAGTTTAAATCAAAGAACTGCTGGCTGAGTGCTGTAACTTAAACATTAGCATTTTTTGTTGAAAACCATAATTGACACAGATGTGATTTATAATGGTTCAAGACATCTTAATAAATACAGTATTTAAGGATATAACAGCTCTGTGACTCATGAAGGGTTTTCATACACAAAAATGGAGTATTTTATAGTATCTTGCACTATCAATTTAGATTTTTAAAAATAAGAGGTTGTTAAGCCTTGCTATCACTCAAACTACACAACTGATATAAACTTAAGGGTGCAAAAAGATCTGAAAACGAAACAGAAAAAGATACTTTTAAAATTGAGAAACATTTTCCTGAGCGTTTAGGCATCCTATACAAATTCATTCCTGCTGGAAATTAATGACCCATAGACACCTGTGAATGCTGCGACTGGGTTTGAGATGATGAGCTATGCAGACTAGGACTACAAATGCATCTGATTACAGACTTCGGGTCTGGAAAGGATTTTCTGTAATGAATAATTAGTTCAGCACATCACAGCGTTGGGGGTAACTATAGGAAGTATGAATATGGTAAAAACACAGGAGTGTTTGCTGAAGAGGAAGTTTTCTTTCAAGTGTCATGTTTGAGCAAAAGAACTCCTTAGTACCAAAGTGATAAAACTTGCTTGCAGTAATCAAAAGGATAGCAACTAAATCCATACTATTTACTAGTATGGAGGGAATAGTAATTAAAGGAATCGCAAGAAGGGAATAGTAATTAAAGGAAGAGAAAATGATCAAAAGTGTCATAAAGATCTTCCTAATGTAAGAAAAATATTTCCATTTAAATATATAATACAGCAAAACCCACTGAAGTATTTCCAATCAGCTCTGAAAATCAAGAAAATTCTACTAAATTTTACTTGTTGATTTCTTCCCCTGTGCAGAACAGGAAGACAGCTTTTATTTTTTTTTTCCTTCATGGTAATAGCATTTTTATTATCTGGAATCAGACAATGAAAAGCTAATGACTTGGAGCAATGACTAATAACGTAAAAGATTTGCTGGAGCCTCATAAGGTCAATAAATTCATAGGCTCATTCACCAGGAAGCTGCAGTGATTGCAGGTGGAAATAAAGCAGGCATTCAATTCAGAATATTTATTAACTCATGTTTTAAGCGTTAATTGAACTCATTTGTGAAGGCATTTCTGCAGTTATTGTGTTCAGCATTGACATTAGGATGTGCACTCATTTGAGATCTTCCTTCAATAACAGCACCAAATGTTGGATTTGACAATTGTCTTCAAAAACAGGACAGAAAAGACAATAAAAATGTTGCTTGCCCACCCTCATAATACCTGATCTCATTTATTATTATTTCTGCTATTGTGTTCATTGTATCTGATATGTGTTCTGCTAGTTCCGTTCTTGTTGCTTAAAAATATGTTAAATAATGTCTGGAAAGAAAGACAGCTCAAAACCTGTGATGAGAGCTCTTATGCTGCTAGCAACATATATATGCAAACCTTAAGTATGAGTTTCAGGAATCCAGTGAAAGGCCTTGCTGAATAAAGGCAAAGGAGAAATCAGACTTCTCTTTGACTGTCTGCCCCTTCGTGTCAAATATCACAAAAAAGAGAATACTAGAAGATTTGGTGTGCTGTTTTCCCCTGCAGCCTATCACAAAATGGCTTTATAGCATGTTAAGCCATTCCTGCTGTGAGCAAAACTTTACACTTTCTTTGTACTGTAGCTGGAGGTTGAACTATATTGGGGTAGGAGCAGAGGAGAGGTAGCTTGGCTGCTGTACAGTTTATTATGGTTTCTTACATGTGTTATTAAAAGCAAATTGTTTAAGTGAAGTAAAAATAATAGCTAAAGAAAAAAAAGAATGCCTGGCTATCCAAAAGTATCTATTAGGATCACAGGCCTTTACTACTTTTACAAAAATTCTTTTCTTACCTTCATAGTCCTTGAAATAAGATGCCTAAATGCACTTTACCACTTCACTTTCTTCAGGCCTGGATCAATAGCATCATAAAAGTTCAATCTGTATTACTGTCACTCAGTTCTGCTGATCTTATTAACAGGTCTTTCAATAATATCACTTCAGTTCCCTTTAAAGCAAAAAGCAAAACGTGAAAGAGGGAGGGAGAGTCTGCAAATAACTCCTCCCAGGGCCTTGACCTCCTCCATCTATCACAAGCAGAGAAGGTAGATAAGAGATTTCATTTGAAAGTGACCATTCTAGGTCTGCATGTTAAATCAGCTTGTAGATCACACTGTGACTGCTGCTGATATGAAGGACTGGCAGAGATCCCATGTGAACTCTGTGCTGCATGTCTGTATTTTTCCTGGTTCCCCGAGATATCTCAAGGCAGAAAAGATGAAAATCTTCCACAGGGCAGTCAAGTCGATATGGCCAGTTCTTCAGACCCCTAGCTGACATGCACTTGAATTACTCCTCTGTAGTGTTACCAGGTCATAATATTTCACTTCAAATAATGCTTTGCTTGAGAAAAAAAACACACAGAGGTATAGAGTCATTGACTGAAGCACTAAAAATTCATCCGTTTTAATTTCTGGTATTACTTCAGGCTCTCATCCTAGTGTAAATTGCTAACTTTATGCCATTTTCAATGTAATGGATAGTTAAATTGTGCATCCCATAAAGTAAAGACAAAATTATTAAAACGGTAAAGAAATGTCTTTGATGTACTCAGCTCAAAACTTTCTGTACTATTTTTTTGTGTAACATTAAAATTATATGACCTTTACTTCAGTCACCGTGCCGTTAGAATAATGAGCAAACACAGAGAGAAATACAGAAAATTTCTTAGCAACAAACCTCGCCACCCATAAAAAATGTCAGATTTCACATGTTTTTCTGTTGTACTCGGTTGGAGAGATCACACCTTCGGATCTCATAAATTACTTTTTGTTAGAAGAAGATAGTGGATGGATTAAAAAATTAGAAAATTTGCATCAGGGAGTAATCTTCAAGTCCAAATCCACGGTAGCAGCCCACAAGGAATATGCAAACAGATGTAATCTTTCAGCATGACTGCCTTCAAGCCTAATTTGAATTTGATTATTTGGTGTCAGAATATATAAAACAGAGTAAAGCGTTGAATTTTGGGGCTGAGCACTTTGGCTTAATGCTAACAAAGCCCAGAAGCTTATTAAACTTGGTCTTTTTGCAAAGCTACACTGACTATGTGCATTTACAAAATCTCACGCTGTCCTGCTGTTTGCTGAACTTAGTTTTTATCTATCACAACTGCACTTTTGAAGTGAACATCCCAAGCGCTCCTGTTTATTGTGCTTTACTTCGCATCATGCAGCAGTATCAGAAATTGCAAAGAGGGTTACTTTTGAACTAATTCTGAATTGAAGATGAATATACATGAAGTCAATGGGCACTGAGCACACAGGAGCTGATAAGAGCCAGACTGCGTAAACACTCCTGAAATGCATGGAATGTGGATGTTGTGTTCTTCAACACCAGCTATTTTCCTCTACAAGACTTCTGTGGGGCTGCAGTACTTGCTAACACAGAGGTTTAAATCTCTGTTTTCTGAGTTAAAACTTGGTGTTGTCAGTCTGGTTCTCCATCTTCATGGATAACAGTGGACATTTTTCCCTTCTGGGCTACGAAACCTTGAGAGTGACCCTCAGAGAAATGTAGAAGGTAGCATGGAGTCTGGCCACATCATATCGTAGAATCATAGAATCACCAAGGTTGGAAAAGACCTAAAAGCTCATCCAGTCCAACCGTTCACCTATTACCAATAGCTCCCACTAAACCATGTCCCTCAACACAACATCCAGTCTTTATGGAATATAGTCTTTATGGAATATATCTTTATGGAATATTATATGAAGTGATAAGCAAAGCCCAGCAGGGGTGAATTGTTCTTCAGAAATATGCTTATATGTTAGTTTGCAGTTATTTTTGTGGAAAAAGAACTGGAAAGGACATGTTACAGAAGTTAATGTTTCTATCAAATGCCTATCTTGCTTGAGATTTCAAACAACAGTCTAGTAAGGAATGATTTGAAACAGCTTACAAAATCTGATATTGAAACATTTTTTGAGGTTTGTTAATAAGTAATTTTGCCCTTGTGAAAGACTGTGTACCTTAAGAGTTCCACACAATAGCAGTGTAGAAGGTAGGTGGGACTTGTAATACTGACGCTCAAGAAACTGCACCATGTCTTTTGATACTCCAGAAATGAGGAATGCACATTCTTGGGAACTTCTCTTAATTAATACTTTCATTTATAAGTGTATGTCTTATTACCAGTTTAAAATGTACTGATTTCTCATTGCAAGATGATATATTTATGCAGAGTATAGGATTTACGTTTAAGATACCAAGCAAAAAGCATTGTGTAGCTAACCATTCCTGCCCCAATAGCACACTCAAACTAACACGCAGAGTTTGGTTGTTAGCTGAGTTAGAAAAATACACTGTTTATGTCTAATTGCATTCTTTTCTTTTGTTGCTTTTTCTTCTAGGTTGTATGGCCATGTCATCCTTGAAGACGCTACTGGTGGAATTAATCACTTCTCTATATACCAGAGCACTGACATCCTGAGTTTGTTACATCAAAGGGTATTGACTGAGAAGGCAAATAATCAAATGACCCGTAACGCAGGTAAATGATACTCTTGGGATCAAAGGAATCCCCTACGAATACTGTGTGCTGCTCTGTTCTGCCAGTCATAGAAAGTGTCGTTTGGCTGCAGCGGTTATAGTGAGGTAGCTTTTGTCAGTCCTTCAAAGTGAGGGTTTTCTAAACAAGATCTTCCTGTTTGTTTTCCTTGTTTGCTAATTCTTCATAAAATACAAAGATGAACGTTAAGTCTTAGTCGAGTATCAATTCATGTGACATGCATACTTGAAGGCTAGGCTTCTGAAACACTTCCAAATGGAACAGAAGGCAGTTTATTTTGGAAATGGACTGAGGTGGCTAGCTGAGAACTGGCTGATGCAAGAAAATAGGCTGCAAGAGGTGTTACCTTTAAATCTTATCCTGAACCAAAGCCATTGGTTTTAGTCTTCTTTGAAAGTGGGTTCAGCTTAATAAATAAAAGTCACTCCTTTTCTTGTATACAAGTGCCCAACAGAAAGTTAGTGTAGAAGAACAGTGGTTCTGTGCTTAGATTCTAGGAGCTTACTTGCATGGAAATACTCAAATGTGCCTTCATTGAATTTATTTTTTACTAGCAAACACAGATGTGCATGTCAGCTCCTGTTTCACTCTTCCTTCACTCATTCTGCGCTTTGTTTGAAAAGCAAGATCTTATTTTGCTGTCCATGTTACTACTTCAACTTTATGTAAGCTTTAAACTAGGCTGCATACTTCACTGCATATAAACCAAGAAATTAAAAACCTACATGAGCCTTTGAAATAATAGCTGTACTGTGAAGCAGTCATGCTATAGCTTCTCTGATTATGATAAAGAAGAGCTGCACTCTGGCAGCAAGATAATTTGAAGTATATACGTGGATGTGTGATGTAATATTTAGAAGAACAGTAAATTAGAAGTATTCAATTTGTCTACAGGCTGATGGCTGGATCACCAGGTAGTATAAATCTACATATTGTTATTGAGAGTCAGAGTTATTACTGAATGATTCACTACTAAATATCAAAACCTGAATATGTGGCACAATAATTTCTATGAAATTTTTCCATTCCAAAGGAAGCAGAATTCTGTAGTTGCAAGAATTTTTGATTTATCAAAAAGATTTATCAAATATTGTCTGTTAAAGCGAAACTTATGATCACATAGTAAGAATAAATAATCTCATGTGGATTTCAACCTCTACCACATACAGAGTCTATCCTGCCGCAGTGATAATCTAGTATGACTAGTTTTTTTTCCAATTTTGTGCAAAATAATTGTTTAACCACATTTGTTTTCCTTCTTTTTGTTTTTTTTTTTTTGTTATCTCATTATAGTTCGTGGCATGGATTTAAAACATTAGTGAGATACTTTCCATCACTTTTTTTAAATTAACTTTCTCAACTAATGGTTTGCTTACTTTCTGCATCTCACTGTTAATAACCTACTGAAACTTTATAAGGAGAACAAGAGTCAGCAAGAACTAGAAATACCAGTAAATGCAGGAATAGCTTGCTTTTTGGATAAAACTAAGGAACGATAGCCACTGGATATCAAAATAAGGAAAAAAAATACCATGAGCCATGAGCACAAATTAGCTAAGCTGTTGTCTAATCAATTGTAACACTTTGGTAGAACCAGATTTACATTATATGAAAGATTTATCTACTGCCAGGATCTTTACTTGGGTTCTCTAGCCTTGGAAAGCTTTACTATATGTAATAGAAGCAGTGGTATTCTGAGTGGCAGGGAATGAAAGAATACTCGGGAAAAACAGAAATTACATGCAGGAGATTTACAGTTGTTCAGGGTGAATGATGACCTCCTCTTACTGAGCATCATAAAATGTAAGTAGAATAATAACTTGGAATTGTGGATAATAATAGATCAGAGAACAGAATTTCAATCTGGTATGACTGCAGGTCATTATTAAAAGGTCTTCTGCTCTACTGTGCATACATACTTGCTTACTTTCTCTTCATAAAGTGGTTCCTCACTTAGCATGCATGATCCAGGCCAATGAAAACATGGTTTCCTCACTTGTTGAGAACATGCATAAAGATTTTTTTCATTCCGTAGTTAATTACTATGCATGACATTTTAAATACACTTTCTGTGGTGGGAGGTCGGTCGGTATATCTTACATTAGTAAACAGATTGGAAAACTCACTGTAGTTTAGAATGTATGCAGAAACGTGGACTGTAATTCAGAGCAAGAACTGGAAGTTTTTGTTTGATTTGGATCTTCTATGGCACAACTCCGAATTATTCAGTGCTCCTGTATCTTTGCGACAGTGCTGAATATTTTTTTCCTGGATATATCTCACTAACTACATGAGTTGTTTTGCATGAGAACATTGGATGATGAACAGCATCTGTGCTTTGTAGATTAAATGGTTTCAAACAAGAGTTTTAAATGAACAGTTAAATTAACGAAAGACTGAAGAATCTCCATTTCCTATTACTTTTAAGTAAGAAGTGCCAGAATCTGTGTCCTCATCAGGATCTTTTGTTCCAGAACAGCCTGTAAAGATCTCATGAAATAGCAAACGTCTAATAGAGTGTTTTTCTTAGAAAACCTCTTTACATAAAGTGAGAACTCAGGTGGTGTTTTCCTCAATCTCTTCACTAGCAGGGAAAAATATTGTGAGGAACAGGACAAACCACCTGAGCAACACATGGTTAAGAGGCTGGTGCAGTCAGAGGAATTTTTTAATTGTTATTATTATTTTTTATCATGCAGAGATTTATTCAGCATCAGGCCTGCTGGCAATAGATGCAGTCTACCTGTTTTAAAGGGGAGGGAATGGATTCTAGCCCAGTAGTTGGTGGGTCTTGTTGAGAGGGCTTTAAACTAGGTTTGAAGGGGAAAGGGAATAAAAGCAAACTTGCTACAGATGAGCCTACGGGCAGTATGTTGAGGTTGGGAGTGAGACCAATGGCCCCGCTGAAGTGCATCTACAGCAATGTGCACAGCATGGGCTGCAAACAGGAGGAGCTAGAAGCTATTGTGCAATGGGAGAACTATGACTTAGTTGCCACCACTGAAACGTGGTGGGATCACTCTGATGATTGGAGTGCTGCAGTGGGTGGCTACCCTTATTGGGTATCATTGGAATCCACGATTCTATGAGCTTACAGAAAATAATTTGAAATGACAACTGAAGAGGCAATTATTTCTTTTGTCATAGGTTCTTTCCTTATTGGTATCATTGGATGGAAGGAAATTATTAAAACAGTAGATCTTTACAATGTCACTTACCTAATGTGTGAGTGTTTTATTCATTATGTTATGCATTATACAACTTCTCTGCACGCGTACTTAAAAATTAGTTCAGTGTTTAAACCAGGCAGAAGATGTTTGCAGTAAACACTTGATCTACTGATATTTTAATTTTTTTCCATTTTGTTTTATTTCACCTGATCAACCAGGTTTTCAATATCAGTAACATTTAATGAGCTCTTGGGAGGTTAATATAGTGAAGAAGATAAAACTCTACTTAGCAATAGTATGTATGACAGATGTGATAGTTTACAGCTACTTTTATTACCGAGCCATAGACTTCTTTTTTTTGCATTGAAAAAACTTGCTAGGATAAAATGAAGTGTTTTACTATTTACTATTAATTGTGATCAATATGGATAGATTTGGTAATATTCCTCTACTATTCATTTACAGTCAAATAATTTCTTACCAGATATTTTACTCTTACCATGCTTCCATTTCTTCTGATCTTTTTTTTTTTTTTAAAGAGAAAAATTGTGAAGCTCCTTATATAAAGATGTAAATATCATTTAATTTATTCACATGCCCATACCAGGAGAACAGAAAACAGAAATGTTCTTTCTTTTCTTTTTTCTTTTTTTTTTTTTTTTGAAAGTGATTTCACTATAAGAAAGGACTAGATAATTCTCATAGCACAGCATGACTGAGCTTAAGTTTCACTGAAGAGAATGCAGTACTAATGGCAAAAATTGGAATGTGTGAGCACAGTGTCAGTAAGCAAAGCTCTGTGAGCCATTCCTATGAGGCACATTGACTCCCAGTGTTGTCTTGCACACACCACAGACATATCCATGTACGAGACCAAGTTGGACTTTCACTTCTTAATGATGGTCTTCTTCAAGTTTGGGGTTAAATGGTACCAATGGCTGAAATGCCTTTGCCTTCTCCAGAAGCAGGATGCAACCAACCACTTCCAAACTCAGTGAGGGAATTGTAGTGTAAGCTGACTGTGAAACGTTATCTTCAAGCTCTTGAGATCTTCCTGCTCTGCACTAAGTATCCTTTGTGAATTTCTGACCAGGGCTGCTGGAAAAGTGTTTTTAGAATTCATTACCATAAAAAGCAATTGTAATTTAGGTAGCAGGTTTCAGAGTGAATTGTTATGTTTCGGTAACACATCTCAGGAGGAGGCCAAGGAAAAGTGTGTCTGGTAAGGGAAGAGAACCACCAAGAGTTGTTTGGCCTTGTTTCAATCCTTCATTCCATATAATAGCAAAAGACCAAGTGGTTGGATTTTTGTGATTCTGAGAAACAGAGAGGCTCTGACTGCAGGAATACTTTGCCCATAGGGAAAGAAAGATCAATTGCACCTCAGGCTTAGAAGTTTGGCAGATCTTCTGGACTCTGGGGATAAAGAGGCACTGCTTCATTAGCTATACCTGCTCTGCGAAGAAATGATAGAAGACTGAGGTATCAGTCAGCTTTTCTTTTTTTCCTTCTTTGAGGCATTCTCTGAGCTTTCTGAGTACCTGAGGCCAAAACCGATATTTGAAGATAAATGCCATTATACTGGTTATGTTTTGAAATTATTTGCTTGGCATTCTTCAGTCAGCTTTATCAGTTCATTAATATTAATGTAAATTAAATAGGTACTGTACTAACACTATATAATCTCATCGTAGAAGCAGTATCTTCTGATTTTTCAGTTCACAAAGATTTTACATTTACTTCATACATGACTGAAAAGTGGGGAAGAAACCAAATGAAACCAGTTTCTCCCCTTAGAATTT